CTGGGGAGGTCCTCCGCCAGGACAGCAGGGGAGCTCCCAGGTCGTCGCAGGTAGCCTCCCAGCTCCCACGAATTCAAAATAGAAAGCAGGCTTTGAGCGAGCCTCAAGGTCTGGCGCAAGACGAGCGGGACGTTATGTCGTGCCGTTTCCGCCCTCCTCCCATTCCTGCGCCCGCTGCCGCGGGAAGGTGCTTCGCGAGCCGAGGTTTCCCGCCTCAAGCAGACGCCCTGAGGGCGCTCGGCCTCCAGACGGCTGATCTCGCGGAGGATACGGGCCTCGGCGAGGCCGCGAGAACACCCCCCGACGAACGCACGAACATGACCTCAGGTCGCTCCATCATGTTCTCCCTTCGTCTTCCCGCCTCCTTCACCCTCCCTCCTCCTCCCTCCTCCCTCCTCCTCCTCCTCCTCCTCCTCCTCCTCCGCCTCCTCCTCCTCCTCCTCCTCTTCCCCCTCTTCCTGCAGATCATCATCCACCTGTTTCCTTATAAATGGGTCCTCGTCGCACCGCCAGGCGTTTCGCTGCAGTGTTCCTCAACATTTATGGCTCATAAGCTTGAAACTACCAACAGCTACCATCATGAAAGGAGTGACGCTCAAAATGGGGCTCTAGCTTCAGCCCCGCGCGCAGTCGTTTCAGACTGGTCCATCGCCTACTGGGATGGATGGGGGATGAAACAGGGCTCTCGCCTTACCGCCGCGAATACATCCCTTTTAAACGCCTGCAGCAGTCACAAAGACGGCGGGCGGTTTCATTAAAACGCAGCTCTCGCCTCAGCGCCGCGCACAATCGCCTTTCAACTGCTCAACAGATACAGAGACGGAGGGCATATTTTTTCGAAATGGGGGGCACGTTTGCGACTTCCTCGACATTATAAGCCAAAAGCTGGAGTATACGTAACATGTTCACATACATGGATGTTGTGTTTGGTGCATCTTTATTATATATGTGTATCTGATATAGTGACCAGGCGTATAAACCTGTGCAGAAAATACACGCGTGGGCCGGTTATGCACAACAGCTGGACTGTCGCTGAACATCTCGTCGGTTTTTGTGGCCTGTTCACGCCCCGTCGTACGCGCTGGAAGGATGAAGGGCAGTTCCTTCTCGGGACGGACGGGGTTCTCGCCAAAATGGCAAGCCCATAGGGTGCTCGCCTGTCGGAGGGGGGGAGGGGGCGCTTCCTGTCAGCACTGGATGCCGTGGTTCACCTCTGAGATTCAAGGCGGCCGGTCTCGAGACCCGACCGCCTCGCCCCGATCATCTAGACCAGGGGCCATGCGGCTCCCTGCAAAGATCGCTTCCAAACAAAGGTGGGGCCCGCGCGTGTGGAGGGGCGTGGGGACACTCCTTACCAAGTTTCAAGGTTCCTGACCTGACCGTGGCCACTGTTGGCCTTGCAACGCACGCACACGATCACATATGTTCCGTCTGAGCATTCGAAAGACGGCCATTTGTGCTGGAGCCTCTTGAATTCGTAATGCAGCATCGTCGATCCAGCCTGGGTCTACACAGCCGGGAAAAGTTACACACAATCAACAAAACAACAATCGTGAATGATCTGCAGACGGCAACGCCCAAAGAGTATCATTCAGTTATTTTCGCCTTTTCAATGTTGGCAGCGTGCTCAGGCGTGCGCCATGGGCCAAACCATTGATCTGCCACACCTTGTCTTGCGCGCCCAGTGGCAATACGCCACTTAATGCCCAGGTGCTCTTCCAAGTTGCTCCTTCACAGGGCCGATGGCGCGGGCGGTTCCACGTTCTGCCTCGCGGTTTGGTTCCCACAAGCCGGATGGTTAACATGCAACGCGCAATGCACACGATACGCTTTTCCGTAACATTGACAGGCGGATGTCGCTTGATGCGACGGGCCCCGCCTGGTCTGATTCAACATTTACTTCGGATTCCATCCCTGTGCCACTTTTGTTATAAACTTTTTTCGCGGGGATGGGTGGTTCTGCGTAAGTATGGGGTTTCCGCGCGATTCCCTCTCGTCTTTTGGCGCGCCGCCTGGTGGGTCCTGTGGGACGCGTGAGACTTCTGCCCCTGTGGGACTTGTGCGACTTGTGCGACCTGTGAGATGTGCAGGACCTGGGCGACTTGCGGGATCGGTGGGTTTTGCAAGACCTGTGCGACTTGAGAAACCTGTGGGAGCTGTGGGGCCTGTAAGACCTGCGGGACCTGTGCAAAACGTCAGCCTTGTTTGGACCTGCGACAAACCTGCGGGCCCTGTAAGGCTTGTGGGACCCGCGGGGCCTGCGTGACCTACGGCACCTGTGGCACCTGTGGGACCTGTGGGACCTGTGGGACTTGCGAAAACTGTAAGACCGGCGAGACCTGCAGGGCCTGTGAAACTTGCGCGACCTGTGAGGCCTGGGGGACCTGTGGGACTGACGAGACCAGTGGGACATGCGAGGCGTTGTCCAACGAACCGCGTTGACGATCCGGCGGGGGGTTCTACCATGTAAATTCACACACGGGGGGCAGTTTAGGTTGCCCGGCAATCCCACTTATAAATCGGGCGGGGCCCCGGCGCGCCCAGTGTGCGATTTTTGTCCGCGTTCGGCGTGTGGAAAAATTAAGCGGGGAGCATCGATCGTAAAGTGGGAAATGTTTTTCAAATAAAAAATGACGCATCTGTATACAATTATATAACAAACCAAACAAATTCACTTTACGATTCACGTTTCCCGTCGTATTCTGTTGCGCACGAAATGTGGAAACACCATATCCATATCGTAACGTGGGCACGCCGGGACACGCCACTCTACGCGAAGTGCGTCCCGTGTGTGATTCTACAAACGAAACGTGCCACCGCCCGATCGTTACATAGGGTCCTTGGGCAACGGGAAGTGAGTCCCGCATATGAACCTACACAGTGAACCCGAACCCGCCCGCGTCCAATCGTTGAGTAGGTTCGCCAGACATCGAAAGTTCGCCACCATGAGCGGACTTTCACAGTGAGCCCCCGCTCCCGCACGGGCGGGCCCTGCGCCCCCCCCAGGCCCAGAACGCAGCCGTGATTGCCGGGAACGGCGGGCGACGACGACGACGACGACGACGACCACGGCGACGGCGACGACGACGACGACGACGACCACGGCGACGGCGACGACGACGACCACGACGACGACGACAGCGACCACGGCGACCACGACGAAGACGACATGCGTTCTCGCCACACCGCCGGCCACTGCTGAGCTCTCGCTCCCCCGCCAAAACATCATCAGCATCCTCAGTCGCCTCTCCCTTTTTATCCTCCTGCTCCCCCCCCCTCCTCGTTTTCCTCCTCCTTCGCATCTTCGCGTTCTTTTCCCTCGCGCTCCCCCCCCCCTAGCCTCGCAAGGAAGCCGCGACAGACCACGGCAGCCGTCCGGGCACCATGTTATGCATCAGGGACCGCGCGTTTTCCATTCCATCTGCCCGAGCGGCAGAGGTTGCCGACGCTATAAGGCAGTTGCCGCCAGAAAGATTGGAGCACGCCCAAACAGGTTCGACATCCACGCAGCCGGGAAACAAGTTATAACAAAATCAACAAAACGATCATCGTGAATGATCTGCAGACGGCAACGCCCGAAGAGGATCATTAAATTATTTTCGCCTTTCAGTGTTGGCAGCGCGCGCAGGCGTGCACCATGGACCAGGTCATTGATCTGCCACACTTTGGCTTGCGCGCCCAGTGGCAACAAGTGGAGGCGGACGCCATTTAATGCCCGGTGCTCTTCCAAGTTGCTCCTTCACAGGGCCGCTGGCATGGGCGGTTCCACGTTCTGCCTCGCGGTTTGGTGCCCACCAGTCGGATGGCTAACATGCAACGCGCAATGCAGACGATACGCTGTTCCGCAACATTGACAGGCGGATGTCACTTGATGCGACGGGCCCCGCCTGGTCTGATTCAACATTCTTGTCGGCTTCCATCCCTGTGCCAATTTTGTTATAAACTTGTTTCATGGGGATGTGCTCTAGTCCTTTCTCCTCCTCCTCCTCCTCCTCCTCCTCCTCCTCCTCCTGTTCCTCTGTCCTCGTTCCTCCTTCTCATCTTCTTTCTCC